ATTCCAGGGCATCTGATGCCCTCTTCTGGCCTCCACGGGCACTGCATGGACATGGTGCATAGATATACATGCAGACAAAACTCCCCTGCACATAAAATAAAAATAAATCTTTTTTTGAGGTAGAGGTTCTCTGTGTAGCCCTGGCTGACCTGGAATTTGTTCTGTAGACCAGGATGACTTTGAACTCAGGGATCTGCCTGCCTCTCCCGAGTGCTGGGATTAAATGCGTGCACCACCACCATCTGGCTAAAATAACTTTTAAAATTTTTTTCTCTATTATTATTATTTATTACAATTTATTCACTTTGTATCCTGGCTGTAGACCCCGCCCTCATCTCCTCCCAGTTCCACCCTCCCTTCCTCCCCCCTCCATGTCCCTTCCCTAATCTACTGATAGGGGAGGTCCTCCTCCCCTAATATCTGACCCTAGCCCATCAGCTCTCATCCAGACTGTCTGGATCCTCTTTCTCTGTGGCCTGGTTAGGCCACCTCACCAGGGGGAACTGATCAAAGACCAGGCAACCTAGTCCATGTTAGAGGCTGCCCCTGCTCCCCTTACTAGGGAACCCACATGGAGACTGAGCAGCCCATGGGCTACATCTGAGCAGGGGTCTAGGTCTTCTCCATGCATGGTCCTTGGTTGATTCATCAGTCTCTGCAGGACTCCCCTGGGCCCAGGTTTTTGGCTCTTGTGGCATTCCTGTTCCTTCCAGGTCTTTCTATCTCCCCCTTCTTCCATAAGATTCTCTGCACTCTGCCCAAAGTTTGTCTCACCATCTGCTTTGATACCCTGATAGGTAGAGTCTTTCAGAGGTCCTCTGTGGAAGCTCCTGTCCTGTTTCCTGTCTTCTCCTACTTCTAATGTCTATTCTGTTTGCCCTTCTAAACGAGGATTTAGTATCTTCCCTAGGGTTCTCCTTGTTATTTAGCTTCTTTAGGACTATAGATTTTAGTATGTTTATCTTATATTATATGGCAAATATCTACTTATAAGTGAGTATATAGCATGTGTGTCTTTCTGATTCTTACCTCACTCAGGATGATCTTTTCTAGTTCCATCCATTTGCCTGCAAGTTTCATGATTTCCTTCTTTTTAAAAGCCAAGTAGTATTCCATTGTGTAAATGTACCACAATTTCTATATCCATTCCTCAGTTGAGGGACATTTAGGTTGTTTCCAGCTTCTGGCTACTGCAAAGAAAGCTGCTATGAACATGGTTGAGCAAATGTCCTTGTTGTGTACTTGAACATCTTTTTGATATATGTCCAGGAGTGGCATAGCTGGATCTTGAGGTAGCACTATTCCTAATTTTCTGAGAAAGCACCAGATTGATTTCCAAAGTGGTTGTACCAGTTTACATTCCCACCAGCAATGGAGGAGGGTTCCCCTTTCTCCACAATGTCTCTCTAAATTAACTTTTAAAAAACACACACAATGAATAGTTTTTTAAAAAGACCTCTAATAAAGTCTTTCACTTGTCCAAATCCCTAGTTTGGAATGGTGGACAGAGGTTTGACTGTGGGATGGATGTGATGGATTTAGATCTCCGGAATGGAAGAAGACTCACACGACAGCTGCTGAGTTCAGCCCAGACCAGGGAGACTAAGTGTTCTGTGAGAGATGTAAGGAGCAGGAAGTGGCCGTGGCATCCCTCCCTGAATACAAACCTGTGACGTCACCTTAGCTGTCAGCCTGACACAACCCAGAAGCACCTGGGGAAGAGTCTCTGTGAGGAATGGTCCCATCTTGGGTTGGCCTCTGGGGGTCTGTGTAAAGTGACTCAGGAAGAGCCAGCCCACTGTGGGTGACACAGTTCCCTAGGCAGAGATGCCTGAATTACGTAGGCATGCAGGGAAAGAGCGGAGCGCAGGGAAGCAGCCACGTTAGCACGCATGCTTTTGTGTTGCTCCACCATTGACTGTGGATGCCGTGTGACCCGCTGTTTGGAATCTCTGCCTCCACTTCCCTGAAATGATAGACAGTAGCCTGAAACATTTAGCTAAAACAAACCCTTTCTCCCCTAAGTTTCTTTTTGTAAGGGTGCTGTTCTTTTTCAGCGATGATTCTACAGGAGAACCTGTGTCTTGAGCAGCTTGAAGCAAACAGTCTGAGCTGAGAAGCTAAGTCACTGGACCATTTCTTTAGATAGAACCCGGTTTCTGTGCAGTCAGCAGCCACTGTGCCTCCCAGCCACCTGCGGGGGGCCGGGCACCTCCGGAGCCTCATGGATTTAAGCCCTTATCAACCTTCACCCAAACCTCTGCACTCCACCTTTATCTCCAACCCACAGCCTTCCCTTGCGCTTCTGTTCCAGCAGATAAGTGCAGAACGCCACTGTGTTCCAGGCACTGTGCTGGCAGCAGAATAAAGACAGCCAGGAAGCGCCCCTCCCTGGCTATGGGTCCCTGCAGCTCAGGGTGGTCACCGCTGAGTCAGAACCAGCCTCAGTGTCCACATCTGAGCCGAGCCCATCAGCACAGTCCTGGGAGTGATGGGAGAGGCCCACAGGCCCAGGATTTCTTGTCAACAGACCCAGACCTACCTATCAGCTGTGTGGCTTTATCTCCAAGCTTCTGTTCCTTTCTGGAAAGAACCCAAGCAGGAGAGATGACTTACTCGAGTTGCTTAGTTGTTTGTTTTTTTGAGACCAGATCTCAAGGAGTGTGGGTTAGCTTCAAACTTGCTGTGTAGCTGAGGATGGCCTTGAACTGCTGATCCCCCTGCCCACCCCCAATGCTGAGATTAGAGTTAGGCAACGCTGTGTCCTGCTTTGACGGACTTTTTGTAATGAGTGGGCTGAGTGAATGGCTCATTTGGCAAAGTGCTCATCCAGCAAGACCCTGGGATCAGTCGCTGGCCCCACACAAAATGGTGTGATGCTTCATATGCCTGTGTGCCCAGTACTCAAGGGGTGGAGGCAGGAGAATCCGGAGTTAAAGGTCATCGCAGCTACAGAACAAGTTTGAGGCTAGCTTAAGAACTATGAGAGAGAGGGAGGAAGGGAGAGAGGGGAAGAGAGGAGGGGG